TAATAATCAGCAGCGACACTAAAAAGTCACTGCTGATTTTCAACTTTCAGCGGCAACTTGTATGTCGCCGCTGAAAGTTACAACATAATTTTTAAAAAAAATTATAAAAATGTTGACAATTAGCGGCGACACTAAAAAGTCACCGTTGATTCTCAACTTTCAGCGGTGACTTATATGTTGCCGCTGAAACTTACAATATAATTTTTTAAAAAATTATAAAAATGTTGACAATCAGCGGCAAGACTCAAAAGTCGCTGTTGATTCTTAACTTTCAATGATGACTTGTATGTCACTGCTGAAACTTACAACATAATATTTTAAAAAAAATTATAAAAATGTTATCAATTAGCGGCAATATTAAAAAGTCGCCGCTGATTCTCAACTTTTAGCGGCAACTTGTATGTCACTGCTGAAATTTACGATATAATATTTTAAAAAAATTATAAAAATGTTGACAATCAGTGGCAATACTAAAAAGTTGTAGCTGATTCTCAACTTTCAGTAGCGAGTCGTATGTCACCGCTGAAACTTACAACATAATTTTAAAAAAATTATAAAAATGTTGACAATTAGTGGCAACACTAAAAAGTCACCGTTGATTCTCAACTTACAGCGGCGACTTGTATGTCGTCGCTAAAACTTACAACATAATTTTAAAAAATTATGAAAATGTTGACAATCAGTGGCGACACTAAAAAGTCACCACTGATTCTTAACTTTCAGCAGCGACATACAAGTCGCTACTGAAACTTACAACATAATTTTTTAAAAAAATTATAAAAATGTTGACTATCAGCAGCGACACTAAAAAGTCACTGCTGATTCTCAACTTTCAGCAGCAATTTGTATGTCATCGCTGAAACTTACAACATAATATTTTAAAAAAAATTATAAAAATGTTAACAATTAGCGGCAATATTAAAAAGTCGCCGCTGATTCTCAACTTTTAGTGGCAACTTGTATGTCACCGCTGAAATTTACGATATAATATTTAAAAAAAATTATAAAAATATTGACAATTAGTGGCAATACTAAAAAGTTGTAGCTGGTTCTCAACTTTCAGCAGCGACTTGTATGTCACCGCTGAAACTTATAACATAATTTTTTAAAAAAAATTATAAAAATGTTGACAATCAGTGGCAACACTAAAAAGTCACCGCTGATTCTCAACTTACAGCGGCGACTTGTATGTCGTCGCTAAAACTTACAACATAATTTAAAAAAATTATGAAAATGTTGACAATCAGTGGCGACACTAAAAAGTCACCACTGATTCTTAACTTTCAGCAGCGACATACAAGTCACCGCTGAAACTTACAACATAATTTTTGTAATAACCTTAAAATTTTTTTTAAAAAAAGAAGAAGATAAATTAAATGATTTTTTTTATTGTTTTAAATATATAATAAATAGGGAGTAATGATTTAGTGGGAACTATGGTAATTTGTTACTTGGAGGTAGGAGGTTCGAATCTTACCTATATTAGAGAAAATTTCATTTTTGTTGGCATCGAATGAAGTTACCAAAATGCCCTTACCTCTTGTGTAATTTTAGAAAATATTTATAGGGTTTCTTGTAATTTTCCCTAATAAACATTATCTCTTTAAATTTCTTTCCCTGGTCGGTCAAGAACAGAGCACGAGGGGAGAGAGGGAGAGAAATTCTGGGTCTAGAAATTTCGAGCTTCTCTGTCTTCTCCATCGGTCTTCCTCATCCTTCCTTCTCCAATGTTCTTCCCGTGTCACCGGCGATCGTGGATGCTCAGCACTGCCTTGCAAAAATGCCCAGGTTCTCCATGATTCTTCTTATCTCTGTTTTGTTTTCCTTGCTGTATCTATGTGTCGGTGTGCGTAAAAGGCTGAGTTTCTGGAGGCTGTGGACGGTTGGAAACGTCCTTCTTGTTCTTTTGCTGTCAGTGTGTCTCTGTAGGTGCTGCCATTAGCGAGTCTTTCTTCATGCTCTCTGCCTCTGTTCCTTTTCTTTTTCGTACTGCTGTTCTATCTTGCTGTGCACATCTGGATTGTTGGCTGATGGAAGAAATCAGGTCGCTGGAGTGGGTGTACTGATCGCCAATCTGAATCAGCGCTGAGTTCCTTTTTCTTCTCGTGAGTGATGCTCTGTTTTCCTTCTTTTTGGTTCAGACAAATATCTTATCTTCTCTCCCTATTCGGTTGACAGCCCCTTGGTTTCTTCCTCCTTTATTTTGTTCGTTTGTGGTTGGGAAGTGAAGGAAGAGCTGATATGGTGCTGTGGAAGGATTAATTCGTGGGTTGAGGCAGAAATATTGCTATATTCTTCTTCCCCTGTTCAGTTGTGGATTCAGTTTTCTTCCTCCCTCTGTGTGTGTGCACTGTCGGTTAACTAAGGTGAGAACTCTTCAGCTTTCTTCCTTGATGAACTTGCGTGAGAGGAAGTGTGAGTTGATATTGAAATTACAGAATTTTTTTAGAGTATTCTACTGCTGTTGCTCGTTGACACTACTGTCGAACAGCACCAAAATTAATAAAAACTAGATTTTGCAGTAAAGTGCAACCTAGGTCGTCTCCCTAAGAGTCAATAGAGTAACTATTTAAATTATGATTATGAAAAGGTAAATAATGGGGGGGTTTTTTTTATGATGAAATTAAAAACTAAATTATAAATAAATAAATAGAGGAAATTCAATTAAGAAAATTACCGACAACAAGCAGCGCAATCAATCACAACCCAATCACCTAAATTTAACCTTCCTCGTCTACAAAATAAATTAATTTTATTCAACTTTATTATTCTGGTTTCATTATAATATTTCTCAAATTATCATTCAAGAATTAAACAAGAAGTTAAGTTATAGATTAATTGAAATCTCCTTTAACCCACAACCTAACAATTGTTTTATAGCCACACCAAAAACAAAGCATGGATAATCACCCAAGCCAAGCCAAATTACTCTTACAATGCTATATCAATCGATTATAGCAATTAAAACCTCAGATAAAATTTATAACTCAAAAATTATGCAATAAAGCTACTCTAATCAGTAATAGTAATTAAAGCATAAAATTTAGAGGTAGAGAGAAGAAGAGAAAATTGGAATAAAGCTAAAATAAAATCTTTCCTGAATATTAAAGACTCTGATTAAAATTTAGGATCATGGTTTGTGATTGATCACACCAAAAAAAATTAGCTCTCCATAGAATTAAAAATCAAACAACATGAAATGAAAAATTGAGAAGCCATCACCCAAGAAATTGGAAGAAGGAAAGACGAATGGCGATCGCTGCTCTGTTTCCCTTCTTTCCTTTTTTTTTCCCAGATCGTGCTTCCTCTCCGTCCCCCATCTATTCATATATATATATATATGAAAAGTGGACCCTAATTAAAAATTACACTAAATAATCCAAAATAAATTCAAATAAAATTTTAAAGATTTGATTCTTGATTTGATCTCCAAGCATGCCCATATTCTTCTTATCCAAAATATTCTTCATCAATATCTTTCAAATTGAATCTAGAAAATCTGCACAAATAAAATAAAATTAAATAGCACCTGTGCAAAAATATTAAAGATATTATTTATATTTTAAAATCAAAGATTTAGTTAGTTAAAATTCCAAAACTGAATATTAGCTAATAAAATCAAATAATATCTAATTAAACTCAATTAGCCTTAAATAAATAATTAAAAGTCTAAATTAAAAGAATAAAAATATATAAAATTATCATTTATCAATTCCCCCACACTTAGACTTTTGCACTCCTGGGCAAAACTTAAATCTCAAATTTCAAGAAAAGAACTGTGGAAGCAACAAAGAATAAGAAATAATTATAGCTCTTCAACATTTTAACACTTTAATCAATATCTCTTATATTGAGAATAACAAGTATCATGGCAATTTCATTTGGTAAGAATAAATTAAGCAATAGCCCCTCACAAAGGTCAAGTGTTTAACTCTCAACTCTCAAATGTATATAGGTAAGTGTTTCACTCAAGTTCCCCTATTAAAACCTCACTACCATAGGCTTGTTTATCATCTAGGTCTCCACTATTTATGTCATATGCAATGTAAGAATCAATAGGACTTTAGTTTAGGTTGTAATGGGGCTTAGGTAAAGGTATGATATAGGAAAATGAAGGTTAATAAACTTTAGGATAATGAAAAGTATATTTGAAACGAAATATATAGAATGAAAGAAACAAAATAAATTGATTTGGGTTTATTTTTCTCTCTTTATTTTGTTTTCCTTTCCTTTGCTTCATGCATTTTTTTTTTTTTTTTGTTGCGTTATGACTTTTATGCTCTTTCTTTTCTTTTCTTTTCTTTTCTTCCTTTCTTTCTTTGCTTTTTTTTTTCTCTCGTTTTTTTTTTCAAAATAACCCAAATCTCTCTTCAAGCATATTCTTTCATTCCAACAAATATTATAATACACTTTTCATCACCTAAAGTGGGGTGAGAAGAATGAAAGGAAAATATTTTTATAGGTTATGTTTTCAATTGGCTAAAATTTTAAAGAAAAGGTTTAGGCTCAAAGGGGCTAACAAGGGATAAATTGCATGGGATGGCTATTTGGCTAAGTAGGCTAAAAAAGAATGCCTAAATCATCTTCATGCAAAGCATATGCAATTATAGTCTCAACTAAGAATCAAGACAAGTTCTAGAGTGGGAGTAGTGATAGCAGAATACACACAAAAAGAGAATAATATTAGGCTCAAATCTTTACAAGCTAAAGGCTATCACATTAATTCATTGAAACCAAACTCATGCCACTTAACTTAAATTCTAAACATAAGATCAATTACTTATCATGCTCAAATGCATTCAAACTAAAATTGTCTTAAATTTGCAACTTCGCACAAATTATTTTTTTTATTTTTTTATTTTGAAAACAAGAACACAAAAATAAAAAAAATGAAAACAAGAAAAAAAATTAGAAACAGCAAAAAAACCTCCCCCCACACTTAAAATCTACAATGTCCTCAATGTAGAACATAGTTCGAAAGATGTATAGGAAAATGTAAATTAAAAGTGAAGAGAAATGATACAACCTGATCGATTAAGTGTTATCTTGGAGGGAAGACTCCTCCACAATGTGTGTCTCAAATCCATCATAAAATGCTTTAACCGATGCCCGTTAACTTTAAACTTTGCTCCAGTAGATTCTGCCATAATCTCTACTCCACCATAAGAAAACACTTTAGTAACTATAAAAGGACCTTCCCATCTAGAACGAAGTTTTCCTGGCATAAGTTTCAATCTGGCATTATAGAGTAACACTTTTTGTCCCACCTTGAACTCTTTTCTAACTATCAGCTTATCATGTATTAACTTGGTCTTTTCCTTGTAGATTCTTGAATTTTCATATGCTTCCAAGCGAAATTCTTCAAGCTCTTGCAATTGATATTTTCTTTGGGCTCCTGCTTTAGTTAAATCCATATTGCACTGCTTTACTGCCCAATAAGCTTTATGCTCAATCTCCACAGGTAAGTGACAAGCTTTCCCAAAAACAAGCCGATAAGGAGACATTCCGATTGGAGTCTTGTAGGCAGTTCTGTATGCCCACAATGCATCATCAAGTCTCTTACTCCAGTCTTTCCTATTAGGTTGCACTGTTTTTTCAAGAATCTGCTTTATCTCTCGATTCGAGACTTCAGCTTGCCCATTAGTTTGGGGGTGATAAGGGGTAGCCATCTTATGCACGACCCCATACTTACCCAATAAACTCTGCATGCTCCGATTACGAAAATGGGTGCCTTGGTCACTGATAATGGCCTTTGGAATACCAAACCTGCAAAAGATATGTGATCTAACAAAATCTACAACAGCAATAGAGTCATCAGTTCTGGTGGCTTTAGCTTCCACCCACTTAGAAACATAATCCACAGCTAGTAAAATGTAAGCAAATCCAAATGAAACAGGAAAAGGTCCCATGAAATCAATACCCCATACATCAAATATTTCACAGAAAAGTAAAGGTTGTTGAGGCATCTCATTTCTACGGGAGATATTTCCTGTATGCTGACATCTAGCACAATGTTTACAAAATGTATATGCATCACGAAATAGAGTAGGCCAGTACAATCCAGAATCAAGAACCTTTCTAGCAGTGCGTTGTGGACCAAAGTGTCCTCCACAAGCAAGTGTGTGACAAAAATGCAATATGGATTCAAACTCAATGTCAGGAATACATCTCCTAATAATCTGGTCACTACATATGCGCCAAAGGTATGGATCATCCCATATGTAATATCTAGCTTCCCTCTTGAACTTATCTAATTGATGTTTCTTTAAATGCACAGGCAATGCAGAGGCAGCTAAGTAATTAACTAAGTCAGCATACCAAGGAGTAACATCATGCATAGCATATAAGCATTCATCAGGAAAATTATCATCAATAGGAATAGAAGGAACCATAGGAGATTCAATGCGACTCAAATGGTCTGCGACAAAATTCTCAGCTCCACTCTTATCCTTTATCTCTAAGTTAAACTCCTGTAGCAAGAGCATCCATCTGACTAATCGTGGCTTTGCATTTGGCTTCCTTAAGAGATACTTTAATGCTGCATGATCAGAAAACACAACAACTTTTGCATTCAAAAGATATGATCTAAACTTATCTAATGCAAAAACAATAGCTAAAAGCTCCTTTTCAGTGGTAGTATAATTGGCTTGGGCTGCATCTAAAGTTCTGGAAGCATAAGCTATGACATGTGATTTCTTATCAACTTTTTGTGAAAGTACTGCGCCAAGAGCATAATTAGAAGCATCACATAATAATTCAAAAGGTAAATCCCAATTTGGCGGTTGAATGATTGGTGGAGTGGTCAATCTCTTCTTTAACTCATCAAATGCTTGCTCACAAGCTTTATCAAATTTGAAATCCACATCTTTCTGCAGCAATCTTGAGAGTGGTAAGGCTATCTTGCTAAAATCCTGTATAAACCTCCTGTAAAATCCTGCATGTCCAAGGAAAGAACGGACCTCTCTAACACTAGTAGGATAAGGTAAAGAAGTAATCACATCTACCTTAGCCTTATCAACTTCTATCCCCCTCTCAGAAACAACATGACCCAATACAATACCTTGTCTAACCATGAAATGACACTTTTCAAAGTTTAATACAAGATTTTTCTCAATACATCGCTCAAGTACTTTATCTAAATTTACTAGACACTCATCAAATGAATCTCCATATACAGTAAAATCATCCATAAAAACCTCTATGCAATAGTCTAGCAAATCTGCAAAAATACTCATCATGCATCTCTGGAATGTGGCTGGGGCATTGCATAATCCAAATGGCATCCTCCTATAAGCAAATGTGCCAAATGGACATGTGAATGTTGTCTTCTCTTGGTCCTCTGGAGCTATGCAAATCTGAAAATAACCTGAAAAACCATCTAGAAAACAGTAGTGAGATTTGCCTGCTAATTTCTCTAGCATTTGATCAATAAAAGGTAAAGGGAAGTGATCCTTCCTGGTTGCATTATTTAGCTTCCTGTAGTCGATGCACATCCTCCAGCTATTTTGCACTCTCATAGGAATCAACTCGTTCTTTTCATTCTTTACAACTGTGATCCCGCTCTTCTTTGGCACTACCTGTACTGGACTCACCCACTGGCTATCAGAAATAGGGTAAATGATACCTGCAGAAAGAAGTTTTGTTACCTCCTTTTTGACCACATCAATGATAAGTGGGTTAAGCCTCCTTTGAGGTTGCCTACATGGCTTTGCACCGTCTTCCATTAAGATCCTATGCATGCATATATCTGGACTGATGCCTGGAATGTCAGCTAGTGTCCATCCTATAGCTTTCTTGTGCTTTCTCAGTACCTCTAACAATTTTACCTCTTGGCAAGGATCAGAATCCTTTGCTATAATAATCGGTAATTTCTTACCTTCATCTAAGAATGCATATTTCAAATGTTCTGGTAGATCTTTCAATTCAAGTATAGGTGGCTGCTGAATAGAGGGAACTAGCTTATCGATAGTTAGCTCATCAACTCCACAAACCTGCATTCCATCAAAAGAAGCAGCAGTATCTTGTTCTAGAATACTAGAATTATCATTATTAATAGAATTACATGACATAGAGTTGATAGCAAAGTCTATAGTTCTTTCAGAGTCAGAAGCAATCATATCAGAGTCACTAGAAGTTTCAATGCCAATATCATGCATGGATTTGAATAACTCAACAATATCATCAGAACCAGAACAGTCAGAAGAATCTTCATAAATAATAGAGTCAGAACAATGTGTATTGCTATCTAAATCAACAATCTCAAGAGAACTAGAAACCATCTCATTGTAAAGCTCATCATATGTATCATCAATTAACATATCAAGCATGCTCACATTAATAACAGAATGATCCTCTATAGGATGTTTCATAGCCTCTAAAAGATTAAATTGAACAACACGTCCTGCAAATTCCATGGAAAGAGTACTATCTTTAACATTAATGATAGTATTAGCTGTCTTAAGAAATGGCCTACCCAAAATCAGTGGTGGTGGCCCATGACTATCATTTTTACCCATATCCAAAATATAAAAATCAGCAGGAAAGACTAAATCTTTTACCTTAACTAGAATGTCTTCAAGCATACCACTAGGATAGGCAAGTCTCCTGTCTGCTAATTGGACAATAATCCCGGCTGGCTTCATCTCACAACCCTGCAAAGAAGAAAATAGAGACTTGGGCATAACATTTATCGCTGCACCAAGATCAATCAAAGCGTTAGAAAATTCTAAATTTCCTATAGTACAGGGTATAGTGAAACTCCCTGGATCTTTGCATTTTAAGGGCATAGGGGGTTGGCACTGCATTCCTTCATGAAATAAAGCTGATACACTTCTTCCTAGATTGACCTTCTCGTTAGCTTTGAATCTTCTCTTGTTCGTGCATAGGTCTTTCAAGAACTTTGCATATTTAGGAATTTGCTTTACTGCCTCCAAAAGGGGAATATTGACTTCAACCTTCTTGAAAACATCAAGCACTTCTTTCTCCAATTCAGCTTCCTTTAACTTCTTGCTTTGAGTCTCCCTATTTGGAAATGGAAGGATCTTCCTTGGTTCCTTTTCTTCATTAGCCTCCTCAAGTGTGACTTGTGTTGCTGCAGCCGACTTATTCTTGATAGATGTTGTGGAGGGCTCTGGAAGCTCCTTTCCACTTCTAAGAGTGATAGCACTAACATTACTACAATTAGGATTTACAACTGTTTGAGAAGGCAACTTTCCAGAACCTTGACTCTTCAATTCATTAACGGAGGTGGACAACTGCCCAATTTGATTCTCCAATTTTTGGATTACTGTCTCAGTGCGTTGTTGAAATTGAATGTTATTAGTTGCCATTTGCTTCATTAACTCTTCTAGACTTGGTCCATCATTTTTAGACCCTGAAATAGGAGTAGATTGCCTCATTGGTTGCATAGGCTGTGAATTTTGACCTGTAGCATTATATTGTTTTGTTGGCTTCCTCCATATCTGAAATTAGGGTGATCTCTCCACCCTGGATTATAAGTGTTAGAGAAAGGATCATATTTTTGGCCCTGTTGCATAGATCTAGTTGGAAAAATCCCAGCACAATTCTCAACTCTATCATCCAACTGTGGGCATTGATCAGTAGTGTGTGTGGCTAAAAAACAGATGCCACATAGAGGCCCAACTAAGGCAGAAGATGTGGTAGCTTGCTGAGGATTATAAAATTGAGGTTGTGCACACGTCTGTGAGGGATACGCCTGTGGAAAAGTTGGCACTGCTGGTGAATTCATTAATTTTTGTTGTGTTAAGGCAATGTGCCGAACCATGCTAGAGAGCTCCTCCATCTTGTTCTCAAATTTAGGATCATATTGTGGTGTTGGAATCTCATTCACCCCCTTAACTGCTTGGTTAGCTCGTGTCCCAAATTGTTGAGAATTTTGTGCCATCTTAGAAATGAGATTCATGGCATCAGTTGGAGTAAGTTCTACCAAAGCACCACCAGCTGCGGCATCAACAAACCACCTATCTGTTGGTAAGAGACCTTCATAAAAATGTTGAACCAGCTGCTGATCAGGTATTTGATGGTGAGGGCAGCTGGCACATAATTTCTTAAATCTCTCCCAATATTCATGAAATGTCTCCCCAGTCATCTGACGAATCCCACAAATATCCTTTTTAATTGCAGCTGTGCGAGAGGCAGGGAAGAATTTTTCTAAGAATAACTGTGTCATTTGATCCCAAGATGTAATGGCACCTGGTTGCAAGTAATACAACCAATCTTTTGCCACTCCATCCAATGAAAAAGGAAAAGCCCTCAATTTGATTTGCTCTTCTGAAACTCCTTGAGGCTTCATGGTGGAGCACACAATATGAAATTCCTTCAAGTGCCTATTCGGGTCCTCTCCTGTAAGACCATGAAATTTAGGTAGCAAATGTACTAAACCAGATTTCAATTCAAAACTAGCATTTGCATCTAAATTAGGATATTGAATGCATAAATTTTGATAGTGTGCATTAGGAGCAGCCAATTCTTTAATTGTTCTATTACCATTATTATTTTCAGCCATATTTTCCAACTTAACTGTAGAGTCTAAGTCAGATTTAGAATCACTAATAATGCTATCAATCAATTCAGACAAAATTTCAGAGATCACACTATCCCTAATTTTACGGTGCTTTTGATTTTTACGGTTAGTACGACAAGTTCTCTCAATCTCAGAGTTCAAATCAATTAATTTATCTTGTAAAGATCTTGTCATGCACTAATAAACTGGAAAAACAATGAAAAACACCTAAAACAAGTAAAGACAAAATAATAATAAATCTTGAAAAAAATAAAAATACTAGAGAAAAAAAATAAAAAAATAAAAATAATGAGAGAAAAAAAAAACTAATAACCAAACTCAAAAAGTTAACACCTTTGACTCCCCGGCAACGGCGCCAAAATTTTGACACTACTGTCGAATAGCACCAAAATTAATAAAAACTAGATTTTGCAGTAAAGTGCAACCTAGGTCGTCTCCCTAAGAGTCAATAGAGTAACTATTTAAATTATGATTATGAAAAGGAATAATGGGGGGGTTTTTTTATGATGAAATTAAAAACTAAATTATAAATAAATAATAGAGGAAATTCAATTAAGAAAATTACCGACAACAAGCAGCGCAATCAATCACAACCCAATCACCTAAATTTAACCTTCCTCGTCTACAAAATAAATTAATTTTATTCAACTTTATTATTCTGGTTTCATTATAATATTTCTCAAATTATCATTCAAGAATTAAACAAGAAGTTAAGTTATAGATTAATTGAAATCTCCTTTAACCCACAACCTAACAATTGTTTTATAGCCACACCAAAAAAACAAAGCATGGATAATCACCCAAGCCAAGCCAAATTACTCTTACAATGCTAATCAATCGATTATAGCAATTAAAACCTCAGATAAAATTTATATAACTCAAAAATTATGCAATAAAGCTACTCTAATCAGTAATAGTAATTAAAGCATAAAATTTAGAGGTAGAGAGAAGAAGAGAAAATTGGAATAAAGCTAAAATAAAATCTTTCCTGAATATTAAAGACTCTGATTAAAATTTAGGATCATGGTTTGTGATTGATCACACCAAAAAAAATTAGCTCTCCATAGAATTAAAAATCAAACAACATGAAATGAAAAATTGAGAAGCCATCACCCAAGAAATTGGAAGAAGGAAAGACGAATGGCGATCGCTGCTCTGTTTCCCTTTCTTTTTTTTTTCCCAGATCGTGCTTCCTCTCCGTCCCCCATCTATTCATATATATATATATATAGAAAAGTGGACCCTAATTAAAAATTACACTAAATAATCCAAAATAAATTCAAATAAAATTTTAAAGATTTGATTCTTGATTTGATCTCCAAGCATGCCCATATTCTTCTTATCCAAAATATTCTCATCAATATCTTTCAAATTGAATCTAGAAAATCTGCACAAATAAAATAAAATTAAATAGCACCTGTGCAAAAATATTAAGATATTATTAT